AGTTTAATTTTAGTTTCGTTACTTTAATTTAGTTACGTTTTACCTTTTTCGTTTTTCGTTTCGTTGTTGTCGTCTTCGTCGTTTTCGTTTCGTCTCTACTCTCTCTCTCTCTCTCTCTCTCTCTCTCTCTCTCTCTCTCTCAAATATTCATTGAGAAACACCTGCCGAGAATACTTAGAAATGTGTCGTTTGAATCATGGGCATCCATGTCATCCTAGGTGAAGAAGGGCCGGGCCTTTTAGGAAGAATCAGAGCCCGCCGGAGACTTTTGTCCATTTGAAATGTAACTGGGGTTACTACGGCTATTTTTGGAAATATGGGGGTTATTTTCGCTGTTCCGTCTTCCTATTTACTAGTATAGTGTTCAGGGTTTAACATGCTCCAGAGGTGTATTGTGCAGGGGATACACACCATTGGGACATCATGGTCTCATGATGAATAATGGGGATTCACCAACCATACATCATCAATTATGTTATACTTTTCATTAAATTACTATACATCCATTTCTTAGTGTTAATTGTTCTTTATGCGATATTTTGAACAATTTTGGACGTTCAACGAACTTGCAAAGATATGCTACAATAGATAGCTTTATATGTGTCGATGTTGCATTTGGGAAAAACCTTGTTATTTAATTGTTGTTGTTTTTTTGTTTTTTTTCGTGGTTTTTATGTTAGGTGATGACAGACCCGGATGCGCCAAGTCCAAGTGAGCCCACTATGAGAGAGTGGCTCCACTGGTAATAAATAGAAATATTCTCTATTAGTTTATTGAAATTTTTTCACTATTATATTATGTACCATGTTCCTCTCTATTATTCTCTTCTACCTTTTCCTTTTTAATAGAAAGTTGTATTTCATATTCCAAAAAACAAATAAAAAATTATGTACCATGTTTTTGGTATAATGCGTTGTATCTTAACTTTATGATACCAGTGATAGTCACCAGCCAAGTGGGTAAGTGGGCAACAGTGAATAAAACCAAGACCCATACCAAGTCCGAATTAGTCACAACTGGTTTCGGGCTCAGTCGGGCCAAGCCAAAAAATTTTAAAATTAAAAAAAAAAACAAAAAATAGGAAAAGTATGTTTAAAGTAAAATTAAAGGAAACACATCTGAATGAGGTTATAAAGAATGAGTTTAGAAAGGAGTGGAAAAATGGTTTT